GGTTTCGGTCTTGGGCCGACTCTGGAGTTCTACACACTGATCAGCCGTCACCTCATGACTGCGAGTTTGAACCTCTGGCATGGCCATGATGCTACCAGTGATGGCCACATTATTCCACCGCCTTCAGGTCTTTATCCTCGACCGTTGGCGAAGAATACTCGCTCTTCGGTTGTGCGTGAAGTAAGTTATAGTTCTCAGAACCCTCAGCAGTTCTGAGCATTTTTATTTCCTGTACTCACAGGTGACTTGTGTAAGATTCCAAACCTTTTGCTGCTATCGCGTTCTACTTGATTGTCGTTTATTCTCAATCTGAGTGAATTGACATGCACCCGCCATTTCCCTACCGCACGGTGGAGTACTGACGTTCATTTTTTTCCAAACTCCCGCCAAGTGTTGTGAAACACCGTCTACGAATTTTTTGCGTCAATAGTTAGTCTAACATACAATAGGAAAAATTTGGAGTTGTCATTTCTGGCATATCAAGCAGCCGCACCCTCTTTGTAAGCCTGAGACCTACCCTACTTGTGGCATCATTTTAGTCATACAGATACGCGGTCGGCCATGTGCATAGTTTTTTCCTGCAGGTGCGCCTGCTGTTAGCCATTGAAATATGGGCGTTGACACCTACTTTGTGAACAACAATGCTCCTGAAAGGATCAATATTCCGCTAAAGTGAACAACAACCAAAATCAAAGGCAGCAAACTTACGCAACCGATGGGCAGAGTTTTTCTTTAGATTGGGCGAATAAATATTCTCGCATCTTTCCACAGATACAAAGCAAAGTCTTGGTAAAGCAAATCGAACACAAAGCAAGGCAAATAAACACCTGCTCCCAGAGAACGCTTTACCGTCTTCTATTCAATTACCTGGGCCTCGCATCTTTTTGACTATTCAAATATATATATTTTTTATTAAAAGTAAAGTTTTTTTAGGAACGAATAACTTTTATTCGAGCCTGATCCACCAGTTCGCGGTCCGAAAAAGAGTTAACTTGCATTGACAACTAAAAAGTGAATGTGGTTGACCAGACTGTAAGCCAATGAGTGTCAGCTGCGTTTAATTATCCCGTCCACCTGACCCTGTGTAATTGTCATCTAAATCGATATGCCCGTTAATCCATTACCCCAGGTTTTCGTGGTCCTTCCAAGTTGGGCAAGCACCAATGATTTGTGTTACTTCCCATGCCATTTTGTGTCCAGTGTGCGCGTAGCAACCTGGTATAGGAGGTCTTGTTTCCTCATCGTTAACTGTATATGTCTATATATGCGAACGAGAATGCATGAGGGATAGGAATAATTAGCAGGCACTAACAAGAAAACATGAGACACGCTACAAGGTGGCTAATAAAGGAGAAAGGGAAGATGTTCGTTCTCTGTTTTGACAGCGGTATATCAATTGAGAGTATTTGAGGTAGCTACTTTTGCCTCCATCCGTAATCTGTGTGTTCAAAGTTTTCGTCTACCGCGATTGTTGTTTTACAATAATATCAACTATCCAATTTTATCAACGTAAATTGCAATCTGCGGTGGTTATATTTTAATCTTACATTATGTTATTTTCTAATCTCCCACCGGCACTTATCTGTCAGTTTTAGGGAAGTCGTAGTCAACCTCACGGCCACTTTGCATGACGTGTAAAGCAATCGTACTCTTTTTTAAACGAAACTGCCTACTTTTTAATGGATAAGATTGTACTTCTGTTACTTGTTTTCGAGAGGTTGCACCTTTGACTCTATCCATT